TGACAATCCATGTCTGAGTTTTTTCATGTTTACATACTCATCACTTAAGAAAAGTGGTTGATAAAATATAGAATAAATAACTGTGTGGGAAATTACCTGGATGGAAAATGGGGAAAGAATATAGGAAAAGGGGAGAAAAGATTTTAGCATTGCTTTCAAAAGTGTGACTGAGTTATGCACTGATGTTCAGCTTTATTGAAACAGTGCAATGTTCAGTGGAAGCCCAGCTTTAATGAAATAGTCCAACAGTAGTGACTTGAGGTTTTAGGAGATTCCTGAGAACTCATTTCAAGTACGTGTCATGATAATTTTCAGCTCTAAAGTTATAAAGAATTAGACAGTAGCAGAAATTACCAATGATGGGAAGAATTATTTTCAGCAGTCTTCCCTCCATTCAAGACACAAATGAGGACATTGAACAGCAAGACTATACCTATATGACTTTGTGATGGAAGTTTTTTTGTGGTTAAGAATGGGAACAGTGGCAGGGAAGGGGGAAACAGGCCAAAAAAAAAAAAAAGCCTCAGAAACAGCTTAACTCACCCTTATTTGCTTTCATGGACTGTAATAGAACAAGATGTGAGGAAACATCTGTTGCCTTCTTTAAAATAGTACTTTGATATTTTGAAAGATTAGTGACATAATTAGGAGCATTTTGATTTCTATGCCCAGGGACAAGTGTGGAAGAATATGAGTCCAGCACAGCTCAACAGAATCGTAGAGGGAGTTAGGATGGTCTATTGTGAGCAATGGCCACAGCAGTGCTCCTCAAATCAGGCTTCCTGAGTTTTACCCCTGATTATGGGATTAGAGTGGGCCATCTATTACTAATAGACCTCACACATGGTGAGATACATGAGCACTCTCAGGACTGATTGTCCATCTAAATGAGAGAAAGTCGTCATATGGTCTGATTTGTTAAATGTGAGCTCATATTTTTAAAATTAGCTTAAAAATGAACAGTTGCTCTTAGACTGGTTGCGAAGATCACCAAGGGGAACAGAAGTGACTTTAATGAACACATGGCTTTACACTAAAAAGAGATGCACATATTGAAGGTTTCAGGAATGGTGATGATCTTACATTTTGAATTCCTTTTAAGGAGATTAGTATCAAGGCTTAGAGCTTTAGTTAAAATGGCTCAGACCCACTTAAAAGTCTAAACCAATAGTTACAACTGTCTAGTAGATACACATATGTTGCCTGGCAGGCTCTGTTGCCCTGAGTGTGACTCTAAGACAGAAAGACAGATATATGTCAAAAGTTGCTAGGGACAGTTAAACACTGGACAGGAACATTACAAGGTCAAACTGTCTACACAGAGAAAATTCAAACTTCTAAGATAAAAATCTAGAGGACATTTGAGATGGACACAGTCATAACATGTGATGATGATAATACCAGGATGTTTCAGAGTTGAGATACCAGGCTTCCAGGTCCAGGAGAGCAAGTAGAAGCAGAGGCTTTTTGATCCATATGTAGTAACTTATAAACAAGACCCCAGAGTTTATATAGTGATTGCAAGGAATGATGCTGTTCACAGGCTTTCAAATCTTGTCAAAAGATGGAATTGGTTTTGGTCCCTAAACAGCAGTTTTCTTGCCCATGAAATGAGTGCAACAATCATTGCTACTTGAGAAGTTTTTAAAATTGAATCACATAATTTAATTAACATAACTAAGGCAATGCCAGGCACCTCCTCATAAGTGCTCAATTAATGTCAGTTATTATTATTAGAACTTCACTTACATATGTTAATTTACTCATCTTATTTGAAAATGCCACTGTTAGAGTAAAACATCAGAAAATAGAAAGTAATTATGCTAAATAGGTGTCCTTAAACCCTGCTAAAAGAAATCATGTCACATGTCTTTACTCTTTCTAATATCTTTTGGGGATTAAAATTTCACTTATAACTTTTCAGTTAGAAGTCACTTTGGACAAGGATAAACAAATTCCATTCATTTAAATTAAAAGAAAAAAATAACCCATTTTGAAAAATGACTAAGCTATTAAAGTAGATCTAGGGAAGAGGACAGAATATATGCCTTTGGAATTCAACTTTATTTTAAAGTCACATTTTGTATTACATTTTTGATTCAGCTTATTGTCTGTGTGCAGTTTGTTCAAGGTTCGTTGTCTAGGTCTCTCCCCCAGTATCTGCCTTAGCAGGTGGTTTGAGGAAAACCACTGGACTTGTATCTCAGAGCCATCTCGCTCTCAAAAATATATGAAATTTATTCACAGGACTCCTGCATCAGGCTGGGAGAACAAATGGGTTCTGAAGAAGAGACAGGTTCCCCTAGTTTTGCTGAAGAATCAGATACCATCTATCTAAGAATAGAATCTGTAATAAAAAAAAAATCTCCAAATTACCTGTATCTTTTTATTCAAATCCATTCCATTCTTTTCCCCAAGACTCACTCTTCAAGAGCCATTTAATACTATAATAGACATATCTTGTTTGATTCTACTGATTCTTTATAACCCTCAAAAGAAATATTATCCCTGGTATATAACTTGTCTCTCTATTTTACCAATGGCATGGAATAAAATTAACTAGCTTTATGAATAAATATTAGTCATTTTTTGAAACCTGAAAGACTGATGTGGAAATAATCATAGTTAAGGATGAGGGTCATAGGGGAATGTTATTTCTAACTCATTAAAAATCATGATGGATGTGTTCTAATTGACCCAACACATTGTCTTATCTTGATCCATAAATTATCCTTCTATCAGAATTCCCTAGGTCTCTTGTTAAAAATGGAAGATTTTTAATTTTAATTTTTAATTTGTTTCACAAATCTTTGGGCTGAGCCTCTGAAAGAATTTTTTTTCTGGGTGATGCTGACATGACAATCTAGAGACTGTAGAATGAGAAGCACTAAAGTAATCTATGTGTGGCTTCTTTCTCATATTAATATTGAATAATCTAGAAATTTGTCATTAATATTAGCTTTAGCAACATAGTTGGTATAAACTAAACAACACAGATTGGGCAATTATTTGTATATAAGCACCTTGTATAATCATAAAGGATGGCAAAGTGAAATGCTAAATGGGTTGCTCTACTTGATTAAATTAAATTGCATAGCAATTCATTATATTCTAGTGATTCATGGCTTAGTAGCACAAACTTCTGTTTTTCTACAGTATTAGTCGTACTGATATTTTTCATGGCAAAGCATCAATTAATTAGTCTTACTAGAGACTCAAATACAAAGAATGTTATATTTTCTCAGTGATCAGAATCCAAGCTTTTAGTTGATGGAATAATTGCTCATTGGATTGTAATCATTTTTAACCTAGTGTAAAACCTCTTTTTAGTTTTTATGAAGAATAGGGAGCAAGAATATGTCAAAGTAATGGCATCAGAGAGGCATTGATCCAACTTTCAATGACGCCAGTTACTACATAGTGGACATTTTGATCACAAGTGATGACATGAAGCTATGTGAATATCAGTCACATGGAATGACAGAGCCACTTGGTTTTTAGTCTCTTTTCTTAAAGCTATTTCTATTCACTAAATCTTTGATGTCTCTGTGTTTCATTTTTATCCCTTCAAGTGGCCATAGTCTAGATACCCACGTTATATAAGAAGTACTTTACAAAGGAATACAGAGCAGGGTCTTTAGTTCAGTCCTTTAAACTGTGAGCTACTTTCTGTATTTTTCACTGCAAAGCAATTGATGAATGGTCTACAATGCTCAAACACATCTAGAGCTGGAGTAAAACTTCCAGTCTAGCTAGTGATTTGTTTCTCTCATTAGATTACATGTAGACTCTTTGTTGACAGAGAGTCTAGGAACTGTAGTTTTTCTAGCTTTGATGGTTCAGTGCTTGATCCTAGTAGAGTTGAAATGTATTTTGTGTAACAAATGCTACAACAAATTGCAGATATTAGGTAAACTTAAAAGTGCTGGTCAAGTGATGGGGTTTATTATTTTATTATTTATTATTGTTTCTTATGACATAGGTCTCTGTATGTAACCCAGGATGTCCCCGTTTTTCTCTTTTTAGAGTTGTTCTCACTTATATAGTCCTCACTAGCCCAGAACTAGCTATGTAAATGCAGCAGAATCCGTCTACCATGCTCTGCCTGGCCTCAACTCTTGGTCCTCCATCAGCTGCCTCAATGACTAGCTTGTTATGGCATTTTTTAAAAATTACCCATCCAATATGTGTCAGTATGAATCAGTCTGTAAGAATGCCTTAATTTAAAACTACATAAGTTCCTGAACCACATCTCTCATCATAAAGTGTCATTAGTGAAAACACCTAGATGGAGTGCTTTAAAGAATCAAGTGGGAACTAAATGCTTTAGAAATTCGTTAAAAAAAAAAAAAGCTTGGTGCATAGTATATAGGAAGTAGTTGATGAACACATGAGCAGGTGGGCCTTTCTGAACACCATCTGACCCAGGAAATCATACCACAATAACTGATATTTTCATACTATATATAACCATGATCTAGAAATATTGAAGTGCATACTCCAAGTACAATAAGTAAAAATCTTATCTTGTCTGGTGTCTTCATTTCTGGAGTTCAGGAAGTAGAAATAATGTATAAAGATACCTCCATAGGTAGCGACATGAAACTGAAGTATAACCCTTCGTGGATTCTTAAAAAAGTGTTCAGTGACTGCCTAATATGTTTCAAACACTTGAGTAACTGCTACCATTGTGAATGAGTCTAACAATATATGTTCCCCACAGGGGAACATACATGCTAAGAATAGTGCTTGGTCTTCAGTTGTATTGGGATTTTAGAGAACTGTGTACTGTAGAGCCACATGATTTTGCTTATTTTGGAATCAAGAGTAGGAGAAGCCAGGTGGCTGATTTCTAATGTGCTAACTTTATCTTGTGATAATTTGCTTGTGTGGAAACACTAGCAGAAGCACAACACTACTTGATGTGTGAAACTGTACCTGTGTCTTGTGACTTTGAGGCCTTGACTGACCCGATGCATCTCGTTTTTCTCCTCTTCCAGCTGGACAGTGCTACCTCACTCATCCAGGCAGCCAAAAACCTGATGAATGCTGTTGTCCTCACGGTGAAAGCATCTTATGTAGCCTCAACCAAATACCAGAAGGTCTATGGGACGGCAGCTGTCAACTCTCCCGTTGTGTCTTGGAAGATGAAGGCTCCTGAAAAGAAGCCCCTTGTGAAGAGAGAAAAGCCTGAAGAATTCCAGACACGAGTTCGACGGGGGTCTCAAAAGAAACACATTTCGCCTGTGCAGGCTTTAAGTGAATTCAAAGCGATGGATTCCTTCTAGGACAGTAGGCTTCAAACAAGAAAGTGTTTTCTTTCTGTTGTCCTGCCTTTTCTTTCTTTTCCATTTTGATTCCATTTCTGTAAGCATACCTGCCGACTTGTGTGCCTCTGGCATGGGGAATTTAAGAGAACAGTATCTGTTTGCATGTAAGATGAGATGAGATCAACACTACTGCCATCGGTAGCCTGCAGAGGGGACAGGTCATTTCTGTACCAAGGTGGCACGGAGCTGTCCTTAGCAACATTCTCTTAAAGTTGGGCAAAGAGTTCACACTGCAATGTTCATGGGTGTGGGGGGGAATGGGGAAATAAACTTAACTCTACAAAAGCAAACTCTAATGCATGCAAGAATCATTAGGTTGGCAGGTATATTCATAAGTGAAAAACCTGGAAGTGTAATGGTAGAACATAAAACCTGTACTGCTTCTGTTTCGGTGCAAAAATGTATTAGCCAATACGCTGAAGTGTGTGGCCCACAAATTGAACAATTTAACCTGGATGTCCTGTATCCATGCTATCATGTGGATTCTTACCTGAGGAGAAACTAACTTGTCCCTTCTCCAAGGCTTCTTTAATCTGCATTTTGTTCTTCCTTCCTGGTAGTGCCATTACTAGTGCTCCTCTCATATTTCTCCCCTCTGCTGAAGACAATAAACATTCATTCGAGACACCTGGATATGTCTGCGGACACTGACAACCCAAAGTGGAGCTCCACTGTCCTTCCTTCTGCTCCTTTCTTTCCTTTTAAACTTGAACTCTGACTTTGCTAGACATAGAAGGCTCAATGGTGGAACGTTAGCGCAATGGCGATTGACAGTGTGTGAAGGTTTAGAGGCAAATGCATAGGTGTGTAGCTTGGAGTGCCGGTATCTAATATACCATTGTATTCACTGACACAAAATAAATACATTTAATCTTGACACCTGGATAGTGTTTCATTTCTCTACACGTGTGGGTATTATAAGGCCATAGAATATCCTTAAACATTGATTTAAAAAGGCTTCTTGTTGGAGTTTCACAAATCAGCACTAAAATATATGGAATCTCTCAGTCATTTTTCTTCTAGAAATGTGTTTGGTGGTTTGTTTTGCCATTTGTCTTGCTTCATTTTCAAACTGAATCTGAAATGAGAATGTTTGTATTTCACTTTTCTGGTCCACAATTGGCCCTAGGCTAAACTCCTAAAACTTGAGATGTAAGATTTAAAGTTAAGCTATACTTAATTTCAAAAATATTTTATTCACTTCCTTTGTTTTCCTCTTTAAATCATAAAAACAAGGCCTCCATCAGATCACCAAAGATGTGTTGGGTGTTGTTTTTCAGTTATGGACTGAGTAGAGGGGAACGGCATGGAATTATTCAAATGAATAATCAGAACTTCCTCCATTAGAGTGACTTTTGCAAGGTGCACAACACTATGTACTGCCAGCAGATGCTAGGTAAAGTGTGTTACTCAATAACATAATAATGTCATGGTGTCATGTGCATATAAGCTGTGCTAGCTTATGTGCTTGATCCCAGAGTGAAGGGCTAGGAAAGTACTGGAATGAAAGAAAGCAAAGTCCAAAATCTTATGTGGAAATGGTTCTGCTAAAAGCACTGCTGACTCGCACTTAAAGCAACACTCAGAACATGATGGAGGAATGACTATAAAAGCTGTTGAATGATTTTCAACACTAATCAATAAATATGATAAGCTTCCCTCCTTAATTGGCATTAGCATTCAGAGATGTATCAGGGGCTTAACCAAAATTGGAGCCAGGGTTTAGACTGATCTCTGGGCTCAGCAAATGTGCTGGATAGCTTCCCTTTTTGCTCATCTGGCATAGGAGTAACCAGCATACCACTTGTCTAATGACCAGAATACTGATGGCGGCACATTCTTAGCACCATTGACTCGATTCTGAGAACCTGACCTTCTCAGAAACAGCAGCTAAAGCACTCTTTTGAGGAACATTTCCCTAAAAATATGACCAATTCCATTTTTCTCGCCCCTGAAGGTTTTAAAGATGAGTGGCACCTCTTCACATCCCTTTTCACCAGGATGGAAGGAAGGTTAAATATTAAGAGGTTAAAGGAGGAGATCAAAGTGTCAGCCTGGCATTAATGATTAGGTACAGAATCAACAAAAATGCTATTCCTAAGTCCTTAAGTGGAACATAATTAGTAAAATTAACTTTCCCAGTTTATATTCTATTCTAGTTTTTAAACCAGCAAAGAAAGTACTCCAGATCAGCCAAGAAACAGAAAGCATTCAAAAGCTTACTGGACATTCCTGAATATAACCAACAGGTATCTGAAGAGCACATTAAGAATGCTGTGAATTTGACCTATACAATGCTACCTGAATACTTTAATATTTACAAACCATGTGTATATATGCTTTCTGGAAATCAGTCCCCAGTGTTGCTTATTTCTGGAAGTGTAGCACGCATGGTCCTTGCTTTTGGTTCTTATTCAGCTAACGTTTTCCCTGTTCCTACAATGGTTGCTCTTGAGATCAAGAAAGTGATTGAATCCTGAAGGCACTTTGCCGAGAGTGCCACAGCAATGGAACAGCTGCTCCTTTCCTATCCCCAAGACATATGCTCTAGCAGGTAATGGAAAGAAGTACACAGCTCGAAGTATCATACCCAAATTATAAAATGAATACAGTAGCAAAACAAACAAATAAAAACACCCTACGGGTTAGAACTACAACCTCAATATCTACTGAGGTATTAGTATTTGGGGGATTTATGAAAGATGTAGAGGCGACTAAATTATAAATAATTTTATTAGATAAGATCTCTTCAGAAGATGTCTTTTAAATTATGTGCTTCTCTATAGGTATGTGCACTTGAGTGCAGGTGCCTGTGAAGGCCAAAAAGGAGCATCAGATCTCCTGGAGGTTGAATTAACAGGTGATTGTGAGCTGGTTGACATAGGAGCTGGGAACCAAATTCTGGTCCTCTACAAGAACAGGTCATGCTCTTACCCTTTGATCCAACACATCTCCTAAAATTTATTTTTGATACCTGAAAGACACACTTCAATTGCACAAGAGGCATGAGTAGAGTGAGAGCCCAAGGTAATTATAAGCGCTTCCTAGAGCAGAAGATGATAATCACAGCAAGCAAGTGGTTCTGCAGCATAAATGTGAGGAGACAGGATGAGTCTAGGCTGTGTTGGCAATGAAAGAGAATGAAATTTTGAAATTGGATGATTACATTAAAATAATAATAATAAAGTCCCTTTTATTATCGGATGAAACAAACTGTATAGATAATGAGGACTGAAAGAAATATCAATCAGAAGAGACAATTTCTATGGAATGTAAGACCTTCCAGTAATTTTTAGAATAACTAGCTTTGGAGTAATAATAATGAAATTATCAAACTTATTCTTGAAGAGCCAAAATGTTGAATATCTGGAAAAAAACTCATTAATACAAACAACAATGGCATGTTCAAACAGCAGTAGTACATTTGAGAATACACCAGAAGAAAAGAGGCAGAAAAAACTAAATTGTAAATGTCAGCCCCTACACACACACACACCACACACACACACACACAGAGAGAGAGAGAGAGAGAGAGAGAGAGGAGAGAGAGACTTTCCTAAAAATAACTTTTAAGTATAGGAGGATAGGCATTTCTGGTTTCGTCAAAAGGATGTACAATCAAGAAAAACACATTGTGTAGGGAAGTTTGGAACATTTTGTTGGCTGCTCCACCCAGTCCTTTGTTAACCATGTGGTCCAGAGCAATGTCACTCAAGTCTGATTTCTCAACAAGGCAAAGAAAAGAGGGAAACATCTGTGTCTTGTTCTACCTTACCTAGAAAGGAGTAATGGTTTGTGCCTTACATAACCCGGAGAGTTGACTGGTATTGAATTAGGGTTTGAGTATCAGATTCAAGGTCAAAGAAAAATCACACACTCTGAGAAACTCAAGACCTACATGCTTCTGGAGTAAGAGATAATGAGAATATCATAAAACACTTAAGGCATGTGAAAAGCAGTGATGAGATTTCCACAGAATATAGAAGAATTAAGAGCAATTGTATAAACAAGAGACTTGAGGGAAACAAATATGGAGGCTTAGAAACATATATGATTAGAAATGAAATGGCCTGGTTATTGTATCCTTGTGCAATAAATACAATCTACAAAGGTCAAAGTCGCTACTTATTCAAATGTCCAAATATGTGCTATAGTCTACTAGAAATTCTTCAGACTGAAATGAAAACTATAGAAATATATGCAACAAAAAGAATGAGCAAAGAGAACAGGAAAAGATATCATAGTGGCACAAAAAGAAACTCTAAGTCAAAATTATTACAAGAGAAAAAAAAAGATACTTTGTAATAACACAGGATCAATTCTTCATAAAGCTACAATAATGAGTATATGTGTCTAGATATTAATGTCTCTAAGAGAATATGACAATAATAGGAGACTTCAGGGCTACACATTTAACAGCTAGACCAAAAGTTAGTAAGAGGTTTTGAACAACACTGTACATCATTTCAACCTGATAGACATATGCAAAATCCATATCCTTCTGAAATATACTGGAAATATTATCCAGGTTAAACTATATGATAAGACATTAAGTCAAATGTTAAAGTGTTAATACTATAAAACATGTCTTTTGGAGGATTTCTGTGAAAGAAAACTAGAAATCAGCAGAAAGAACACTGGAAAATATGAACAAATATTGGAAGTCAACCTAATCTTAATCAATGGAATAAAATCACAAGTCATATTAGAAAATATCTTGACAAATTAAAGTAAAACCACAAAATGCTGATATCATATAAAAACTGGTAAGAAGTAATATGTAATTATGAATACTTAGTAAAAGGAAAAGACATAAATCAAAAACTTCAAGATATTATTATAAAACAGGTAGAAATCTAGGGAAAACAAAGTATGATGGCAAATTTTTGTCAATTTGAGTGCATTAAGTGATGCCCATATAGTTTATTAAACACCACTTTTTACTTTGACTGTGAGAATTACCAGAGATCTGGTTTCCCTACCTTAGGTAGCGAAGGTTGTTTCCCTCTCTGATGTCAGTGAAATGCCAAGAAATGTCAAGTAGTACAAAACTGCAGAGGAAGACCAAATGCACTCTCTTCCTGAGCTAGGACATTCATTTACTCCCGAGGTTGTGTAGCAGTGCTCCTGCACAAATGGTTGTTGTTTTTAAGCTAAGGCTCGTACTGCTGTCTTTCCTAGTCTCAGATCTTTAAAACTGAACTCGAATAAATCACTCACTCTCTTGCCATATAGCATACAAATGGTAGAACATGAATTTGCTTCTATAATAACAGGAATGGTTACTTATAATAAATCAATATCTTCTCTCTCTCCTTTCTTCCCTCTCTGTGTCCTTATTTAGTCTACAAAATAGAGAAAAAAAAAGTATAAGAAATCCCACAGCCTTGATAGTTTATTCTTTTTCTCGGTTGGGGAAAAGATGATACAAGAACAAAATATAAATAAAAGCATGTTTCTATATATTGTGCACAGAATACAAAACATTATTCAAGTGTTATAAGAAACCCTATGACAACAAACAATAACCAGGATGAAGTAAATAAATTCTAGACCCTTGCAACACTTAATCATGAAAACATGTATACTTATCTGTCTAGAACTAGAATTAGTATTCAAAACTTTCCCAACAGAGAAAAAGGAAAAGAAGACTTTGCAGGTCAGTTCTATAGATTCTACCATGAAAAAATTAACATCACTTCTCAAGATTCCTTCCCAAAACAAAAAATTCTAACTCAGTTCATGATGCTATAATTATCTTAATATGAAAACTATACAAACATAAGAAAACTACAAACCAGCATCTTTGATTACTTTGATCTTAAAATATGAGGAAGAAAAATTCAACATGTTTAAACGATGT